TACAATGGAGACTATAGGTACATGTGAAGACCTTCGGGATTACGGCATGCTCATCACACTCCTTTTTAGCACGTGGTCGCGTGGGGTCTTGCGCTCCAAGGATATAATGTCAACCCAGAGTGTTGCAGCACACGGCACTGCTCAAGCTTGCGGACACTACTGCTGTTCCATTGTTACTACGGATATCACTATCTGGCTTTCCTTTCAACCTCACACTAATACCCTAAACCGTGTGCCTCCTCCCATGACCTACATGACGGAAAGGCTTGGCAAGGTGAGGGTTAGATGAGGGACCTTCAGAAAATCAAGGGCCTAGTATGGTTCCCAAAGAATCGGATCCACCCGAGTTTTTTGCCGAAAGAGGGTGTAGGATTCAGGGCAACCTGAGTGTGAGACATATTGAGGCCAGGTGCGTAAATCTGTAATAGTAACCGTAGTACGGACGAGTAATATAATGGTAGGGAGGGCAATAATCCTCATCATACTGAAGATAGTCATACCAGTAACACACCCTAAACCCCCCTGACATAGGTTCCCATGGCCGGCAGGAACACTTTACTTCTCCTCGGGTTCAAGCTTCAAGCTTGCAGGGTGTGGTAGGGTAGCACAAGTGTGGGGCTGAGTGCAGCACCAGTACTACGCCATAACATGAGATACTAGGGTTTAGGGTTTGGGGTTTAGTAAGGGGCTTACAGCTGATTGGCAGACTCTGGGTGGGGTTTAGACCATAACAATAGCAATCATGGTTTATACGGGTAAACAACTTCACAATAATCCTTGCTCCTAGTGTGGCTTCAAGAAGCCCGGTTTTTCGGGAGATGCTCTCTTGGGAGTTCGCCCTGGAAGATACTGGAAGTCTGACTCTTCGTGGCTTAGCTTTCGGGCTTGTTGCTTGCCGCTATGGAACCGTACCATGATGACAGCTACGACTGGTTTCTCCTTCTCCGAAAAACCATCCCTAAACTTCTGTCTGTACGTGGCGAAGGGGAAAGCTGCCATGTTGTTTGTTGGGCAACCCGCCGTGTGCATTGAAAGGGTCCACGGCCTTCTTGCGAAGACTGATGCAGGGGGTAGCGGCATGGTCGCTTTCCAACAGCTCAACTTGCAGGCAATATGGGGCACATGCGCAGAGACACAGGCCAGGGCTGGGATGCGCTGAGACTTCAGGATCGCAAGCCTGTGCATGTAAAGAGTTGTAAGTTGAAAAGTGCGTTCGTGCAGACCCCAACCCTACACCCGAAATCCTGATTAATTAATCCCAACCGAATCCCAACCCTAAACCCTAAAAGCTTTGACTGAACCGGCGAAGCGCCGAACCCGAGATCGGTGCCCTCCGGGCCTGCAAGCTCCTGCAGTTGTTGAGTCTACACCCCGGAAACTCTAACTTCAACACCGCGGAGAAGCGTCGGTTTAGTGTTTAGGGTTTGGCGTGTAAGGTTAAGGATTTAGGGTTTAGGGTTTAGGATTTAGGGTGTAGGGTTTATAGAGAGAGAGAGAGAGAAGGCATCATCATACAAGACTCGTGGCCCGGCACAAACGTCGAAGCATTGCCAGGCAAATGCATCCTTGCAGAATGCCCGGCCTGCAATGAGCGCTGGCAACAAGATGGGGTCGTTTGAGCAGCGCGAGAAAATGCTGTCACTGCCACTGACGCTTCTGGACTCGATGCTAGCTGTAGAAGACCTGTTGCTATACACTCGGTGTGCAATCTGAACTGTAAATGCGCTCCATCGATTCGGAGCTATTCCCAGAACCAGACACCACATGACACCACCACAACGTCTCGCTCATGGAATGCAGACTCAGGCGAGCAGTCGCTCATGTCTACAAAGGGTCATGAGTCCCAAACCCCCAAACATCTTCAAACAAGCCGCTTGTGAGCTTTCGCTGAGGACTTGAACCGGCTAAAGCAGAAGGGTGTGAGCGTTTGCGTCCGGCACTGAGCCGCAAGGTCACTTTGCAATGCTCATGCAGCTAGTTAGTGCTGTTGGGGTGTCGGGCTTAACTTTGAGCCTTCATCAAACTCCAGTATACACTCTTAGGTCTTGTGACGATTGTGATGTATTACTTTCAGCTTAAACGGGAGAGCTGAGGTTTCGTCGCAAGCTGGCTGTGCCCTGGACTGCAGCTTTTGTGACACCGGCCGGGCCAGGCCCTAAAAGGCTGGGATAGTACGTGGGGGGTGTTCGGGCGTAGGAGAGTACTGGTACTGGTACTTGTGACGATGGTATTGACATGCAAGCTTTCTCGGCATCGCTTGCAAGGGAGAGACGGAGTCAAGCAATAAGAACTAAGATCGATAAGTTTTCGGCCCAAGGGCGAAGTGAACCGAACCTACAAGCGCGCATTGAACCTTGATCCACAGCTCCAAGATGGCTGTGCATTCCGCCAAAGTCTTGGCTGTACTGTTGGCAGCTGCTTGCCTCCAGTGGTCCGTCGCAGAGCCAGACCATGAGGGCAACTGCGCTATGCAAGTCGGCATCCGACGAAAGTCCGGCGGCGACTTTGGTGACGATGACACCCCGGCAAAGGCGGTGGATCCTCCAACGGCACCTGCTAGCGAGGCGACAGCGGAGGAACCCGCAGCAGAGGAACCCATGGCTGAGGAAGCTGCCGAAGAGGAACCTGCAGCAGAGGAAACCGCAGCAGAGGAACCCGCAGCAAAGGAACGCGCAGCAGAGGAATCGGCTGTGGAGGAACCTTCTGTGGAGGAGCCTGGACCAAATGTTCCTAATATACGGGCACCTATATTATTTTGGGGTTCTCTATATATATTATAATCATACCATGAAGGACCCCAAAAGCTTGTTTTATTTATTAAGGCCCCTACATTATGTATCATTATGTTGCCTTCAGTGGACTCAACCCCAAATTTGCTAGACCTAAGCCAACATCCGGCCCACCTTCACCGCCTTTGCCTGAGGAGCCCGTTGCAGAGATTCCCGACGTAGAGGAAACCGCTGCCACCATCGTCGAACCTGCAGACGAGTCAGAGATGGAGGAGCCTGCATCAGCGGAGGTCGCAGCAAATGGAAGGGTTGGGGGTTTATAACGTCGAGGATTTAGGGCAGGCTTCAAATTCTAGGCGTAAGGATGCTCATGCCCACTGGGTTGGACAGTCTGCGGCGAAGTCCGGAAGCAAAAAGGGCGTAAGGCTGCTTCAATATAGAAGCCTAAATAATTACCAATATTATCGTTAAGGTTCCTTATTATAAATTTGCTATAAAGGAGCCCAGTTTTTAAGGCCCCGACATAGTTCCGGTTGTCTTCCACGACAAACCGCAGGCATCCGATGCCGGCATCTTTTCCGACGCCGCCGGTGCAAGTGGAGCCAAGAAGCATCCAGCCGCCAAGGGCCAGGGAAAGTGGGCGCAGGCCCACAAGAAGGAAGCCAGCCATGGTAAGGCGTCTGCTGGAAAATCCGCCGGAGGCTGCGTCTGAATTAGAAATACTCGGAATACGTACTAGTTGCCCCGGTCATCCCCGGTCATTGAAAACAAAGCTAACAAAAAAACATGTGTTGAGTATGGCTTAAGAGTCTAAACTCGGAAGACGTGCCAGGAAAGAAGGCAGGCAAGTGGGCGGGCAAGTCCAACCATGCGAAGGCGGCGAAGGCCAACGCAACCGACTCTGACTTCGTGCAGGTGATGATTGACAGGTTCTTGAACAAGAAGGTCCCATCCAAGAACGAGGATGTGTCGGAACATGCCCCGTTGGTCTTCATGCACCAGCACCGCGCCGGAGGCACCACTATGCGAAAGTTGCTCTACAACCAGTCCGTGAACATGAAGCTGTCGCCGCACATCATGTGCTCCGGTGGTGTTTCTTGCAGGGAGTTTAAGAACAACGATGCCAAAGCCGCAGTCTACGGTGGCCAGTTCTGCTGGCGAGAGCTCATGGATACCTTGTCTCTACAGCAACTTTTTCCATTGTTTATAGCAAACCCTTTAGCCTCTGCAACTCGACAGGATGGACGTTAGTTATCCTGCGACAAGTGTAAGGAGAGCTTGCCGGAGAAGAAGGTTTCTTGTTTGACCAACTTCCGCGAACCTGTGGCGCGCATCCAATCCTGCCCCTCGCCTGGAGCGTGTAGGTAGGGTTTACGGATTGGGGTTGCGGCCGACGGGTTCCAGAGAGCAGTAGAAATTCAATTGGTCGCTTATTTTAGCTGTGGTTCGTGCGTGTGTGTGTGTACGTCTACACACACAGGTATATATATATATATATATAACAGCACGGTTGCCTGCATTCCGTTTCGTGGCTGGGTTGCAGCGCCTGGTCTTGGGTATGTGCACCCGCGCGCACACACACGCATACATCTCTCTCTCTCTCTCTCTCTTGCTCTCTCTCTCTCTCTCTATATATATATATATACACATACCTATCACATACATACATACATACATACATACAAACATACATACATACATGTTGTATATACATGTAATTTCATCCGTATGTATATACATATACGTATATACATGTATAAACAAACCAATAAGTTAATCGATAAATACATACTTACAAAAATACATTATGTATATATATATATATACATGCATACGCCGTATATACAGACATCCTTGCCTGCATGCATGGATGCATTGATGAATGGATGCTGTAGGTATGTATTTATATACGGAATGTATGGATGGATGGATGGATGGGTGCATGTACACTGTATGTAGGTATGTATGTACATATGTATGTACGCATGTACGCATGTACTCATATATGTATGCATGTAAGTATCTTTGTATGCATGCATGTATGTATGTACGCATGTCTGTCTGTATGTAGGTAGGCATGTAGGCATGCATGTATGCATGCATGTATGTGCGTATGTGTCTATGTATGTTTAAATGTGCGCATCAGCGTACGTGTGTATGCATGCACCCACGACATGTCTGAGCTAATCACGCAGTTGTGTGTCTACCATTTTGTGTTCAGCCGTAGACGTGACCAAGAGCGACCGAGGCTACCACAACCGGCTTGTTCACACGAAGAAGATGCTTGGCCTGGACAGCCTCCTTTCACTTTGTTGTAGGTTGTAGATGGCTTGATTGCTTCAAGCTGTGCACACCTGGTTTAAGGCTGAGGAATTATGAGCCCATGTTCAGTCGAAGAGTGTCAGGCATTATGCAAGCATCGGAGTTGCATAACATTCAGGCCATTGCAATCAGAAAAGACAGTCGCACACTATTGCGTGCCCTTCCTCTTTGCATTCGTCATTGTTCGATATGGAAATCTTGACCTACTGAGAACCAGGCTGACAACCGAACCCCAGTCCAGAGAAATAGTTTCAGGTTCAACGGGTTGAGAACATAGCGATCAGTTTAAAGGCGGCTGCAGGTTAGGGAAGGGCAGCTTTACAGCCCTGAACATCGAGCGTCACGACATCTCCAAGAGCTCGTTGGAGGCTTGCAGGTGGTCCCAAGTCATGAAGCAAAGGGCAGGCATAACCCTGACCCTGCAGAGGGGCAGCATCGGAATTCAAGCCTTAAGCTCAATTCCCTTGTGTCGTCGCATCCACCAGCCCTGGCAATCCTACGACGGAACCCTGCAATGCATAAGACACTTAAACTGGGCTTTGGAGTACCATGCTTTAATACTTTTTGGGGGATATGTTCCTTAAAGGAACCATTATAAAACAAACGTCTATACTTTTTCTCCCTGGTTACCTCAAAGCCCGGTAAATGGAAGCCAAGGATTGCTCCAGCATGCATGGGCAAGTTGGAGCCGAGCAAGTTGAAGTCGCTGCTGCAGAACTACGGTTGTGTGAACGAGCTCCTCGGCCAGTACCAGTCAGGAAGTCAGGATACAGCTGTCATCATCCTCGGCATGATCATAATTCCACTGTAAATCTTGCAACAACAACAAACCTCTACTACTACTACTACTACTACTACTACTACTACGAGTACGACTACGACTACTACTACTACTACTACTACTACCAGTACTACTACTACTGCTACTACTACTACTACTACTACTACTACTGCTACTGCTACTGCTACTGCTACTGCTACTGCTATTACTGCTGCTGCTGCGGCTACTACTACTACTACTGCTGCTGCTACTACTACTACAACAACAACTACTACTACTACTACTACTACTACCTCTACTGCTACTACTATCGCTACTACTGCTGCCACTACTACTACTACTACTACTACTACTACTACTACCACTACCACTACTACTACTACTACTACTAGTAGTAGTGGTAGTGGTAGTACTACCGCTACCACTACTACTACTACTACTACTACTACTACTACTACTACTGCTACTACTGCTACTACTGCTACTATGCCTACTCCTACTCCTACTCCTACTCCTACTCCTACTCCGCCTGCTAGTGCTACAGACAAGTGACCAGTGTGATAGGGTTTGCCAGTGCGGCCCTGGGGCCGGCGTAGGGCTTCAAGGGACCAAAGGAGGGACCCTTAAAGGGGATGTTGGGGTTATAGGGCTTTATGAGGCTATGAAAACGGTAAATAAGGGTTATAGAGGGTATCTGGATTAGGGGTCCGTTCTTGGGGTCCCTCTTATTGTCCCTTAAGCGTAGGGCCGAAAAAAACCGAAGCTCCCCCCCAAAACACATATAATAGAGGGGCCTCAATACTTAAAGGACTTTTGTCAGGAGATGAAGAAACCCCAGAAGAAAGGTTCTTTAGGGTTCAGGTAATAGAGGGGCCTCAAGAATTACCTACATGTTTTTGGGGGATTCCTTACTCTAAAAGTAATATAAAGGACCCCAAAACCCTATTCTAAGTATTAGTGCACCCATACCTATTACACGCATCCCCTGTGGCTCTATGGGGCAACCCGGCCCTTGGACATCGAACCCTAAGCCCTGAACCCTAAACCCAAACCTGCAACTAGGGGTTTAGGTTGGTTGGTTGGTTTAGGGTTTAGGGGTTTAAGGTTTAGGGAGAGTGTAAATCCTTGTATTGGCCCTACACCCGAACCCTGCAGCCAAGGCCTTTCCGGCGCCTGGGTCATTGTGGTCTCAAGCCAGCAGATATCAAGGACAAGAAGGCCGTTTTGACACCCGCTTGGTTTCGGGTGTAGGACTGGTGTAGGTGTTATACAGGATCTGGTGTTTATATAAGGTTTAGGGCGGCAAGCTTCATGTTGCAAAAGGCCTCAGCGATTCGGGCCTTAGGGTCGATCTCACGGTGCATCCTTAAGCCCCTGAGCTTCAAGTCCAATCGCCCCATCCCTGTGATGTCCTTACTCATTCATAATGCTTCGGGGTGACGGCGACATGAGACCCTCTGCATGGCTGCACACCATAAAGTACGGCCATGAAGCCGTTGTTGCCCTGTGATGCGGGTCTTTGTTTCAGCAACGATGGCGGCGGAGCAAACCCTACCCATGCCAGGCCCTCCAGTGTAAGGATTGAGGGTTTCACTGTTTAGGGTTCTGGTCTTGGGGGTGGGCGCATGATGCCTGGGTTAAGGCGGAAATTGAGTGGTTTCGGCTTTGCAGAAATCCGAACGTCTCGTTGTTTCAACAGTGCCTGATGCGTGGTAGAGTTTCGGGTTCGGCCAGGCCCGCATGCTGAGCTGGAACACGACCCTTGAGCACCTCGCCGAATGCGTACCTGTATTGGTGGACAAGCAGGAGCTTCAATCAGATGGCTTGGTTCAGGTGTTAGGGTTTTTCGGTTGAGGGCCTGGCAGTCATCAAGTCCGTTTTCAAAAACGTTTAGGGTATAATCATGGTTGAGCATGTAGGGTTTAGTAAGTAGTCTCAGTCAGGGATCCTCTGCTAAGGGTCAACCTTGCTGTCCCCAAATCTATTTTGAAGTAGCCACACATTGAAAGGCCCTCGCATGTGTAGGCCATTGGCAGTTGTCCGCAGTTGACCGCGGCAGGAGACGTATGCGGCTGCCGTGAAGTATTTCCCGCAGTTCAAGCAGGCCGTAGGGGGATGAATGAGCAGCCTCCAATGTCCATACCCTCCGAAACCCTTACTATGTATACGTACTTTAGTTTCAGTCATGTTCCTCTATGCAAGGTTTTCGGCATCTCGGGTTGAGGGTTGCCAGCTCAAGTACATGATGCTCAGCAACAACGTTATATAGTTGTGTTGTGAAGGGTATGTGAAATCCTGATTAGGCCTAGGCCCCTGCTATGCACAACTCTTCCAAGGACCGCCGTATGTGCCTGGAACGACTGGTTGCGAGGGTGGCTTCCCTCTTAGACCCGTGTCCTCTCCCTCCACCCCTCCATCTTAGGCCCACGTGAGTGGAGAAGGCTTGCTTTTCCCCTGTAGAGGTCTTTTGGCAGATGAAGAAGCTGAAGCTGAACGAGAACGAAAACACCGAGGCCTGTGATGGGTTTCGGAGCTGTTTGAGGTTTAGGTCGCGGGTTTAGGAGGGAGTTGTTCGATGAGTGGATGGACAGTAATGCAATTCCTGGTATCTTGGGCTGGTGAGAGCAGCTGGTGCTCGAAATCTACCTGTGGCTGCACTGGGCCACAAGCCACAAGCCATCAAACTCCACATTCTCTGAACCCCAAAACCCTCTTTGCGCAACTCTCACAACACAATCCTTACTATGGCCTCTCTCTCTCTCTATATATATATATATATATAGATATTGATATTAATATATATATATATATATATTTATTTATTTATTTATTATTATTATTATTATTATGATTATTAACATTAATCAGCCTCCGAGCCTCTTCTTCGACCCAAGCAGTCTTGAGCCAGTGCTTTTGTGGTGGTTTAGGGTTTCCGCCCCCCCTCTGAACCCTAAACCCTAAACCCTAAACCCTAAACTAGACCCTACGGCACTCGAATTTGGTGGGTTTCCCCTGATTCTTAAGAATCCTTCTATTTGTCTAGATTAAGGATTCACGGTTTCGAGTTTTGGGTTTAGGCTTTGGGGTTTTTTGTCTATGTTAAGGATTCTGACTGATGAGGACCCGAATTTGAAGGCCCTTGAGGATGACAGTGTACTAGGCAGCTAGTGTGCCTGAAGGCATGCAATTCAGTTGTTAGGGTTAGGGTTTAGGGTTCAGTTGTTGGGGTTTGGGTTTAGGGTTGGGTTAAGGGTTCAGTTGTTAGGGTTTAGGGTTAAGGGTTTAGGGTTCAGTTGTTGGGGTTTAGGGTTAAGGGTTTAGGGTTCAGTTGTTAGGGGTGCCGGAGGAAGCCCTTTCACTTGACTCGAGGATGTAGTATCTAAGCTTGCATGATTAGAAGAGGGTTCCGGCGTATGTTTGACTAGAGCAAAATGTATGAAGGAAGCCAGGTGCTAGTTTAGGCGCCCCCCGCTCCTGAAATTTCGACATCGGGCTTCCGTGTTCCTGAGGCTCACCATGGACATGAAAGAACCCGCTCTCGGCCATGCTCCGTACTGCCCAGGTAAATCTTGGCTTAAACGCCCATACTTACAGGTTCAAGCTGCAACTACGTTTGACGCTATCTGCTTCCAAGACACCTTTGTAAGCCCTGAACCCTCGAAGGCCAGGAAACTTTCCAACAGCGCCATATAATATAGGGGCCTTAATAATTAGAATAGGGTTTTTGGGCCCAATCCCCTATAACTATAGTAAAGAACCCCCAAACTAGTATTGGTAACTATTGAGGCCCCAACAGCATTCGACCGTCAGGAGTGCGCAATCCCGGACACCCACATGGCTGTCATCAAGGAGCTGGCATCCGAGGAGCTGCTCTTGCACCAAGCCGCATAATATAGGGGCCTGAATGATTAGTATAACCGAAATAATTACCAATACTATTTTTTGTTGGGGGGGGTTCCGTATTATCGTTATAGTATAATAGGCCCCAAACCCTATTCTGATTATTAAGGCCCCTATATTACCAATACTTTTTTGGTACACTGTACCCCTCCAAAACCCTATTTTGATTGGAAAGGCCCCTATGTTAGACATTGTGTTTACGATTCTTGCCGGTTTTTGATTTCCGGACCTCCAAACGTATGGCACTGATTCCCCTAACCCGAAACCGCTCAACCCACAACCCGGAACCCGGGCACCTGGCTGCAAAGCAAGCCCTGTCTGTGTGTGCTCAGAATACCCGCCTTTTGGGTCCTCTTGGCTCCGTTAAAGAAACGACCAGGAGGCCAACTTTTCGTTTCCTGTCAGACACGTCCCTGCCTAGGAGTTTAGGGCTTAGGGCTTCAGTGTGTCAGGTTTTGCAGAATGGGTTTGGTCAAGAAAGAAGGGTGGGGAGGTAGGCAAACAGAGAGATTGTTCATTTCTGGAGCTTTGCAGGTGGATAAGTCCGAATTTCCGAAAGTCGAGCCCATAAAATTAATAATTAGGGTTTAGGTTTCAGGGCTTAGTATAGCCGAGTTTCCGAAATTAGAATTAGGGTGAGGTCTCTCTGCAATGCAATGCTGAGGTACGAGGCCGCACACACGCGTGCCAAGAATCTGAACAAGCATTTCAGCTGAGACCGCATCCTCAGCAATAGCCACTGAACGCATATCGCAGACATGTGGCCGCGGTTCTAGACTATACAGATATTCTAGATATTTCTGGAGCAGCTAACGACATCAGTTGTTGAGCTTGTTTTTACAGATGCGGAGGTTTTGACATTCGACTGTCCACTGCTAGCCCAGACGTTGGCGAAGCCAAGGGGGGCAGTGGTGCTGGCAGCCAGGTGGTGCAATGCGACAAAGCTCCACCACCGTTTTCAAACTGCTTTAATCCGCAGGCCGCTCATAGCCAAAACCGGTCGCGGTGCAATAGTTGTACGGGCAACACCCAGCACCTTTCTGAGATTCTCAATCATCTGTCCGTATGTCTGTATATATATATATATACAGACTTTATAATACAAACTTATGGGTGTGCGTACATACCATCTCGAATGTATAATGGCAGTGCAAGCAATGAGGGTTTGTTTTATTTGGCTACAGCTGCGTTGCTACATGTAGTGAAACATACCCGTAAATTGAATGGGTTGACTTGCAATGCAAGGCTGCGCAGTTTCCAGCATGTAAACATGCATCGCCTGTATATTTCTTGAGCATGGCCATGAATGCATGAAGGGACTACTGCAGTATTAAAAATGCATCTTACAGATCCATATTCCTGGTGTCAGAATTCGTATGTAGGCAGACTATGTATGTGCATGTAGGTCCGATTGCTGTTTATTTTTTAAATGTGTTTTTTGGACAACTGTTGAGCCCTTTGTGTCTGTACCCAGACTCACATATATGAACAGATACCCCGAATGCAGCACTCCGGGTACCTAAATGCAAGGATGCTGGACTGTCGCTCTGTCTCAGCGCCAGAAAAATCACTGGCTCGTGGCACGAATCCCGCTGGAAGCAAAAGGCCTCTCTTGGCGCAGTCATGAGCGTGCCCGAAGAGCCGATTATTCTTAAGCTTGTGGAATTATGTACAGCGACAGTAGCATGAGACGCACGCCTAGCAACACCCAATGTTCAAGCTTGTGAGATTAAGGCTCCCAGAGGCTCGCACACACACGGGTGGTTGTCAAAATTATGGTCCCTTTTTGGGTCCTTATTACAATACGGCACCTATTATTTAGGGTACCCCAAAAGGGATCATAATTTTGACAACTACCCACACACACACACAAAGCTCCACACCGCTTCCACACCTCAAGCCCTGGAGAGGGGACGGTTTAGGGTTTAGGGTTTAGGGTTTAGGGTGTTGTTTGGGGCTTGAGCTGCCAACTCAGGCCGTCCCGACTCCTCACAGCCTTGCCATGTGGCCGTTGTCACGATGTCACCTGCGTGGGTTTCTAGAAGCCTCAAGGCTCCGTCAATATTCAGGTTGAATATTTCTTTAAACTTACATATATGTCTTATGTCTCTCTCTCTACATATATATATATAGAGCTGTTGTGTGTATATGCGTGTATATATATATATGTATAATGATAATGCACACATGCATACCTCTGGTGTAAACCCTCTTCTAAAACCTGTCAAGCAGCAAATACATAAATATGCCCAAGCTTGTAAACATGACGGGGTATTCTTTGGAAGTCATCGCTTTTGGGTGGTGTTGTCGGGTGAGCTTCCGCTGAGGTTAAGCCTGCAGCCAACCTGCCGGCGTGGGCCATCGCTGCCCAGGCCGGTCCGCTGTGTTTCTGTTTGGTGTGACGTGATGGCATTCAAGAGTTGTCAGAGGTTCTTTGTGGTTTGGGTATCGGCTTGCAGTGCAGCATGCAGGAAGGGCTTGAGAGTTCAAGTGCCATGTGGCATGCAGCTTGTGGGTGGCTTGTGCAACTGGATGATTGACCTCACCTATGCGTGGCGCAAGCGTAAAGAAAGCGCATTTCCAAACACCTGAACTCTCACTGCGTGTTGACCTGTCGCATGCATATCCTTAACCCGGGACACTATGTCCTACCTACGAAGATAATTTTAGTGACTTTCGCACATCCCCCTGTGCCCTAGTCCCACCAAAATGGTACTGCGGAGTTGCCGACAGCAACACAAACCAAGCATGCCCTTCAACGCTTGCGAAGCTTATCTTCTACTCTATTCTATTATATTCTATTCTAATTCCAATTCCGGTTCGGTTCGATTCGATTCGAAGTCTATTCTATTCGAATTCTATTCTATCATATTATACTATACTATATTATATTAAATTATATTCAATTAGATGACATTACATTATATACAACAGCCTAAGTCTTGAAGCGTATAAACCCTATGCGCCCTATAAGCCCCAACCCCCGACACCAGGCCAAGATCCCAACATAGGTGCCTTAATACTTAGAATAAGGCCACCTTGCATGTTATAGCATGAGTAGATGAGGACCTAGCCCCTAAACCCTAAACCCTAAACCGTCACCGAGCACCCTTAATCCGAAGGTGGCCTCAGTGGTCGAGGCTCCCGTGTCGGCGGCCCGGGAAGCGACTGAGGTGTACAATAAGAGTGCTATACTGCTATAAGACTACTGTAGGGGACGCTGTAGGATTTGCATTATGTTCGGGCTTTCTGGGTCTAACTAAGGGAGTGTAGGTTTTTGGGTGGTTTTGAGTTTCGGTTTGAGGATTTTGCGGTCTGAGTCCGGGGTTTTAAGCCCTTGTTGGTTAGGGCTCCGGTTTGGAGGTCTGGGGTTGAGGGGTTCGGGTTGATTTTTGAGGGTTCTGGGTCTAAGGTATTGACTTTGAGGTATCGGGGGAGTAATATGGGGGAAGAAAGATTACCAACACTATTCCGGGGGGGTTGCGTATTGTAGTTATAGTATAACATGCCTGCAAACCTTCCTCTTAGTTCTTATAGTTATATTATGATAGACCTCAAGACCTCTCTTGTGATCATCAAGGCTCTTATATCATAGAACCCTTATAGTTGCCCTTATAGTATCCCTGATTTAGGAACTCTTTAAGTAGCCCTATTCTGATTATTAAGGCTCCTATACTATGGGTGTCAGGCGTCGGGTCTTAGGTCCAGCGCCCTGGGGACCCTAAACCCTAAACCCTGAACCCTAAACCCTAAACCCTAAACCCTAAGCCGGTCTAGGGTTTAGGGTTTAGGGTTTTGGGTTCTGGCGTCTTCGCGCTTGACCATGGCGCCTAGGGTTGAGGGTTTAGGCTTTCGCGGGGTTCAGGGTTTAGGGTTTAGGGTTTAGGGTTTTGGATTTAGGGTTTAGGGTTCAGGGTTTAGGGTTTAGGGTTTAGGCTTGAGGTATGAGCTTGGCAAGCCTGCGGACAAAAACGGGTTTAGGGTTCAGTCGGCCAGAAGTGCCAACTGCAGCTCAATTACTTTCCCTAAGGGTCCATGTACCCATATAGTATATACAATGGCCCCAAGGTACCTTAATAGGGACTACATTAAGGCCAAAGTATATACTATGTGGGTACATGGACCCTTAGGGTTTGTGTCTCCTGGAAGAATCCTAGAGAGACGCGTCTCAGTCACATGAGCTGGCATCTCACAGGTCTGCTGCTTCAGAGCAGCGGGGTGCCCATATGGGACTTGGTGGTTTAGGACTTTGGGAGGTGTAGGGTGTAAGTAGAGGCCGTCTCAGTGTTGAGGTATCACAGCTTCGATGTTGCTTTCCAAACCCAAACCCTGTCGGCAAAGGTCTAATCTGGTCTATGTACAGCGGTCAGGGAGGACGCTCACGGAATTGTCTTCATAGAAGAATCGAGTGTGAAGAGTTTGGCGGTCTTTGTAAGGCTGGGCTTACAGCGCATCGAAGAAAAACAGTGGGCTCTGGCTTATGCCGAGGTGTGCAGCAACAGCAAATCAAGGTAAATGCATGTGGGTTTAAAATCTAAGTATAGTATTAGGTTGATTTTCGCGCATGAGCCGACAAAACGGAGTTTCAGTTTCGATCCCTGATGTGCAAAGTTCACATCCGCAGGCATAGTGTCGTGTTCATGGGCATGGGCGAGTGCGGTGCTCAAGACAGCCCAGATCCGCAGTACGTTGGTTCCAGATTCCACGAGTTGCCGAAGACCCATCTTGGACAGAAGGCTTTTGCTCAGACATCACATTTTCACAGCAAACCTATAGGAATTTGTCGCAGTGCAAGCTTCCACAGACGTGGCAGACTGTGTATGGATCAGAGGGCTCTAGATCCTTCTAAGTGGCTGATATAGAAGCCTACATAGTTATACTATGTTCGCTAGGTTTCCTTACCGCATTTAATGCACGTAAACTACAATAGACCCCCAACACCTCATTCCCATTATTAGCTACGGCCCCTATATCAGTTTCGGGGCCCAGGTACCCCTGAAGCTTTGTCGCAGAAGTGGGGTTTAGGGTTAAGGGTTTAGGGTTTAGAGTGTGTTTTGCTACGGCAGATGAGGCAATGCTGGCAGTCATCAAGTCCGGTTTCAAAAAGGGTGTGTTTTGCTCGTGCCGTAAAAGCTGCAGGCATTGTTCTCAGAGTCAGAGTTGGGTTTTCACTCGGGTTATCGGGACCTTGCGCAAGGGAAGCTCAAATCAATGGGCGTGGTCCTGACCAGCTGAGGCCATTGCTCAATTACACGGAAGTGTCGCAAGCTATCCTCCTTCTCCAGCAGGTGACCGCGCCAGAAACCGTGGACGGGAACGTGCATTGATCTTTGCACCCCAAACCCTGAACCCCAAAGAACCCCGACACCCAACAACCTAAAACTTGGGAAGCTATGTGGTGGATCGGCAAGGGGCCGACAAAAAACAACAACCTAAACCCGAATGTAGGGGCTTAAATATTTACTAATACTGTTTTTTGAGGTGTTCCTTACTATCGTTATGGTATAATGGGCCCCCAAACCCTATTCTAATTATTAAGGCCCCTATATTACGTGTGTGCAGTCAGATCACAGGGTTGGCCGCGAGCTCCTAAGCGAATGCTGGGCCCAATGGCCCGAGACTCTAAACACTACTGCAAACCAACCCTCAACCCTAAACCCTAAACCCTAAACCCTAAACGCTAAACCCTAAACCCTAAACCCTAAACCCTAAACCGTGGTTTATTCTCTTTCGGGAGCCCTCAAGCCTTAAGGGTTTAGGATTAAGGGTTTAGGGTCTAAGCTGGGCAGTAAGGGCGGCAGCCGAGTCCCTTGTGAAAAAAAGGGGTTTAACCTGTCTATTCTCTTTCGGGACCCCTCAAGCCTTATTTTTAGAGAAAGGCTGGGTTTTTGAGGTTTTAGCAAACCTAGCAGGCCCCTGCGGTGTGGTCAGCTAGAACGGAGGCCAAGACAGGGCTTTTTCATCCCGGTGTTCGTTACTAGAGTCCCCAGTCAAAAGTTCTTTGGCAACATATCGCAAGATCCTATGACAGCTATTGAGGGCCGCTAGAGTTGTTTTTTTAGTGAGAGCAGTTTCGAACGGAGAGCCCCCCCCCTCTCCCTGAATATTTCGACCAAGAGAGGAGTGCCGAGTCGGGAGGAAACCACGAAACTTCGTAGGGTTAAGCGGGTTTAGGGTTTAGGGTTCAACCCTAAACCCTAAGCCCTAGACCCTAACAGACAAGATGCTTGTTGAAGACATAATTCCACGTTGCGAGCCGCGCAGGAGGAGGCCCTTTCTCGAAGATGGGCCTGGTCCTTACGAAATCACGCGAACGTCTGGTTAGGTTAGGTAGTAAGTAACTTAGGGCTTGGGGCTGTAATGTTTTGATCTAATGGCTCAGTTTTGAGTATGCGACGCCGTATCTAGTGTTGTTGATACTTTGAAGTTCGTCTCAGCCCAGTGTGCACCTGTTGCTCCACGCGACAACTTCTCGGGGCGAAACACGTTGCATTAGAGGCTAGATGCACGCGAGTTGGTTGGTCGGCGTCGGCATTTGCTGGCAGTAATGAGGCCCGCGTGCCAACAAAACATGTTCGGCTGGTAGGGTGTAAGTGTAAGGTTGATAAATGTTTATGCTGTGCAAGTTCTGATTCTGGGGTCCAGTTGGCCGGTGGTTTTGTGCTGTTCTTTGGCTTAGAATGTGGAACACGAAATGTGCCTGGAACAGCATGAGCATCGGAAAGCACGAAGTCCCGAAGCTGTGACGATTTCAGCCGCAAATTCGGTCCCAGTTCTTACTGCAACATTCAGCCAACCGGAGCTTCCTCGCACATAAATAAAGCAACATAAAGCAACCAGTCCTCACACTGTGCCATCCAGTCACATGAGCCGGTAAAACAGACCAGTAAATGAGGCCGGCTCCTGCGTTTTGCGGATGTGTCACGGTACCAAAGTATAAGATAACTTCTTTTCTTATGCTGAGTGATTAGCAAGGAAAAGACCCGTTAGTCTCATGAGCATTCCATGCTTTCGTGTTGGGTATCATGTAGTTTAGAGTGACAGACGAGGCCTTGACTGTGAGTACCGTCGGCGTCGCGTGCCGGACACAGACGGTTTTTTGAGACTTTCGTCCGTAAGCCAAAGGCTTGTGCGGGGTTCTAGGCAACAGTTGAGTCCAGAAACTTTTCAGCCCAGTTTTTTCGGGGATTGGCATATCCTGGCATGTAAAGTTGAAGGGTAGACTTGTTCTGGGCCGGGGAAGAGGAACCCAACCGACTGATCCTGAGGGTTATTGCAGGTTGACTTCACCCTTGGCACGGATTGCAAACCAGAAATCAGGCCAGTCTACACAACACCAGCTGCATCTTCCGAGTTTAGGTCGGGCTGTATGGCCCAAGGCTGTCGACCGGAAGGCTTCTTCTAGTCCAGGTGGATCCTGCATGCGCGAGCCCTCAACTTAGATAGCCAATGGGAGAACTTTGACCGCTCTGGCCCTGGCCTTATATTTTTGGTCCACTTTAGAAAAGTTAGAACTTTTTTGGGCCCGGTTAATTGAAGAAGAGAGGCAAACACGACCAGCTTCGCCGCAAAAACTCCGACCTCACCTCGAGAGCCCGTCGTGACCCGAAGTCGTCCCCGCAGTTTTACATGGGAATCAACACAAGACTCCCCATAGGCCCCATAGTAGTTCCTTTTTGGGGCCATATTTAGAATCCTATAAGGTAATCCCAAAAAGGAACTACTATGGGGCCTATGACTCTGGTGCCTGAACCCGAAGCCCTAGACCTCCTCGACTCGAAGCATGTCAGTAGCAGGCCTAGAATTGAGAGCTTGGCGGCAGATCATCCGGAGGCGCTAGAGGGGTCCAGGAAGGGTTGCCAGTTGCTTGATTGCTGCATATAGGGTCGCGAGGTGTAACCAGTGTAATCTTGGATTAATCTGGCGGCCAGCATGCATGAATCATCTTCGATCCCCAGCCGAGCCTTGCCTTGTGCAAGGTGGCTCTGGCTGTGTCGTTGCATGCGCGGGGAGCCTACATCCGTAGATGCGCAAGTGTATTCCTGCATGCCCAGAGCGGCAGGGTGAGGGACGGGACAGGGACAGGCAGGGGAAAGGGAGAGGTAAACGGAGAGAAAGGAAAGGGAGAGGGGATGGGCTTTGCAAGAACAGCTTGCTAAGAATAGAAAGCCTCACCACCCATGTGCCAAAGCTCGGCTTGTCCGGCTGTGTGAGTCAAAGCTCGGGGCCATTTGACTGTCATTTTCACTCGATGAGACCCTAAACCCTAAACCCTACTGTAGGGGTCTGAATAATTACCTATACTATTTTTGGTGGTTTCCTTACTGTAGTCATAGTAGAATATACCCCAAAACCCTATTCTGATTTTTGTTTAAAGACCCCTGCATCACAAGACTTCGATCCTCAAGCCTGAATTCTCAGACGTCATCAAGTCGGTTCATTGCAGGCCCACACAAGAGCTGCGGGCGCAACTGCTTCCTAGCAGTTCAAGGCGGGCGCCGGGCAAAGACTTGGGACTTTAGGGTTCAGAGTTTGGCTCTAGCTTTAGGCTGAGGATTTCCGGTTTCTGAACCTTCGGACATCTGGAGAGGCTTACTTTTTGTCAGGAGTCGAAAATGGAGGTTAAGCCCGAAAATGTAAATCAGCACTTATGACCCAACTCGGTGTAAGTAGTTGCCCGTGTCAGTTCAGCCCATCTACATGTGAATGTAACTAAGACCTGGTTTAGTATATACAACTATCTATCTACCTATCTATCTGTCTATCTATCTACCTGTATACCTATCTATTATTTATTTATCCATCTATCTAATTGTCTTTTATCTATCTCCCTATCTGTATCTCTCTCTATATCTATCTTTACATATCTATATATATATATACACATACATACATACAACTGCATAAAATTACCTTGAAGTTGAGTTTCGTTTGCCGTGTGGGGTGTTGCATGAGGCCCAGTCTAGAGGTTGCCAGAAGCGGCAAGGGCCGTGTTTGTGCAACTATGTGTGTATGTATATGTGCATGTAAACACATAGACTCAAAAAGAGAAGCCCTTTCGGCCCGCTTTGTACCCTTATAGTGACCCTTGCAGAAGCCCAACCCTAAACCCTAAACCCTAAGCCCCATAAAGATCATGGAAGCTTTTTCTTTGTCGAGGCGGTGGTCCCTCGCGGAGGTGATGCAGGCGGTAGAAGGCTGAGTTTTGCGGCCTGAAATAATTTACCCGGGTACCCAGGGAGCCCAGTTGCCTCTGCATGGTAGTTTACGATGCTGTAAGGGCTAGAATCCTATAAAATGGGTTTTGGGCGCAGGAACCCACTACATAGGTAAGCGGTTTCCTAGGTACAGTATGGTTTTCCGGGCGCAGAACCTTTGTTTTGTAATGGGATCAAAAAAGCGGATGCCCCATGGCCCAGGCAAGCCCTGACTAGAACCTACGAAGCGTTTCCTGCAGCTATCCGAGGTTCGAGATTTCCTCAGCACTGGGAAGTAATTAATTACGGTTTAGGGTTTAGAGTTCAGGATCCTATTCCATCATGTATTTAGGTGCAGTGGGTCGAGGTTGGGGTTGGAGGGTGAAGGGTATGGTAGGTTGCCATGGAAAAGCCTGAGTTACCAGAGTTCATACGTTATTGCGCAGTGTGCTAACCGATGAACCTGGCTGCGGTTTCAAGAAGGGTACATTGCTGGGAGCCGTCTTCTGACCAGAAGGTTAAGATCAGATGATCAGATACACACAGAAAGAAGGTAGAACGTGTGACTGCCGCCCGCGACCGAGCTAAGCCAGTCAACGATGATTTTACTGCCTGGGTTTGGTAGAAGACATGGACTGTCAACACGTGTATCTTGGTGTTCCATTGATGGGTTCTGGGCTAGAGTTACTTTGGGGTTGAGGGTCTGCCTTTCTGCCACGGCTTCGAGTTCTGTTTTCTTCATGACCGCGAAAGCTAGCCGAGGTGCAGTTCCACGAAGATGCAGTGGGGCGAGTGCCAATGTTTGTCGGGTTCTTGGAAGTTGCAATGAACGCTCACTGGTTTGCCCTCAACCCTGAACGCCGTAAGCTCTAAGCTCTAAGCCCTACGTGGTCACATGTTCGTAAGATACCGCTGGGGTTTTCGGAAGCCAGGATTATGTGGAACGGGCTCTTAACCCGTGCCTGCCAGCGGAAGTCAAGACAGTGCAGATATGCCTGTGAAAACGACTTGCAGGAACCATGCAACCTTGAAGCTTAGGGCGTCGCATGTTGTCTCTACATGGCTCCCTGAATGCCATTCTCAGAGGCATACAGGCACTTGTTTGACTTTTGATCCTGGCTTTCCAAAACCCCTAGCACAGTCTTGACTGTTGCTGGCAGGCTGGGGTTCAGAGCCCATTTTTCAAACAAAGTTGGCGGCACCAGAACGAAATCAGCCCTCCCCCCAACCCCCAACCCCCACCCCGCTTTCCAAAGCAAGGTCCTGTCCTTCAAGCGCTTAGAATCCAATGCGAAAGCCTCCAAACCGGAAAACCTGCAGAAAAGCGCGCGGGAACTTAGGTGCTTGTGTGGCCCTATGTACCCTTAACCCTAAACCCTATAAAAGGTGGAAGGCTCATGTGGAGGACAGCGGCCCACAGAGACTCCGGAAGCCCTGCATGATGATTGCAACTCTACATTGTAAAGTGGGCTTGAGCCTAAACCCTAAACCCTAAACCCTAACTTGAGAGGCTCAGTGGTTAGGGATCCGGATTTGTTTAGGGTTTCGGCGTTAGGGATCCTTACCTAGAGCCATAGCCTCTATTGTAGTTCGTATTTTCGGCTGACGCCGCTTTTAGTGAGGACAGTGGGGATATGTGAGGATCCTGGAAGAAAAGCCAACGCATTACCGAGCATCGAAGCTGCCAGACTCTTTCCAGCCTATGTGGCTGATTCATTGCCGCACGCTTCAAACCTGAATCAACATGAAAAGGCTCGTGTGAGGCCTATTACTTTCAAGCAGTACAGCAGGTTTATGCCGCTTAGATTATTTGGTGACTACGAGCCTCTTGCAAAGGCCTACACCCTTCTGCCCGGTGTGAACGATTCGGAGGCCCCGATCCCGCCCTGCACACGAATCGTGAAGACCAAAAGGTACAGGTGCGAGTCTTGTTTTGTTGAGCAAACACTGTCTGTTTGTGTTTGTGCGTGCGTGCCTGCGGGAGTGTGTTTTTGTGTGTCAAGGTGTGTTTCTGTGCACGGTCCTTGTTCTGAACCCTCTAAATCATTGAACCTGTTTATTACTGAACCCTCAAATTACCGTCATCTTCTTTAGATTTATTCTCGCGTCCTTAGTTTGCTGAGCCTCCCAAAGCGAAACCCTGAGCTTGCAGGTGCAGGTCTGCAGGCATGTAGATACAGGTTATTTCTTTCAGGTCTTGTCTAGCTTTGCCCAGTTCTCCTGTCTTGGAGTGGCGGTGACGTCGTCCAACCTGGTGGCATCTTGCAGCACGCCCTATCTGTAGCTGTCTTTATGCATGCTTGTATCATATGTGTCGTTGTCTCGGTGTCATGCTCTAGGTGTTTTGTATCAATTGATCTTTCGATGTGCTAGTTTCAGCTGATTCGAGTCAGATCTTGTTGGGTTCTTGGTCCCGCAACGGCAAGGGGCTCAAAGCCCACGGCTTCGAACGAGATGTATCTGACCCGACCGCATGCAAACTCGTCAACCCTGCACACATCCATGAACCCTGAACCCGAAACCCGCCAAATCCCCCTAAACCCCACCTGCAGTTTCAATCTGGGTGCGCAGGCGAATGCATCTGAGCTAGCAGAGCTCCTGCTTGAGAGGCCTGGAAGCGGTTGCAGGAGCTGGAAACCTTTGGAATTTGAATTCTTAGTATGGATGCTAGTATTTTGGGTTTTAGGGTTTTCGGGATGCGAGAGGGGCTGACGGGCGCAGGGATATTCAAAATATGGTCTGCGGTCGATGGTAAACAGGGTTGTACAGCATGTCAGGCTCAAGACGCTCTGGAAAGGGCTCTATTGTTGTCTGCTTGCCGAAATCACGACATCTTTGCCGATGGACCGAACCTCATGTGTCTAAAACTAAAACTGTCGTCCCTCAGCCAACCCTGAAACCCTAAACCCTAAAACCCTAAACCCCCAAACCCTGAAACCCTAAACCCCAAACCCTGAAGCGCTAACCATGCAGGATTCCTCTGAGAGGTAGGACCCAAAGTCCGTAAAGCCCTCAGCAGCCAATAATAGTCCACGAGAGCCCAAACAACACCCGAAATGTCGCCTACCTTAACCCCAAACCGCCCAAAAAACTCTCATATAACAGTATGTTATAATGTTTCATGATACTGATTATCGTTATATTTACAGTAGTGATAATACATAATACATAATATATATATATATATATATATATGTATATATATATATATATGTATATATATATATATATGTATATATATATATATATATATATTAATCATCTATGTATTTATTTATTTGTCTTTTCCTTCATTTACTAGTACTTATTCCTTTAGATATGCTGTATTTATAAGCACATAGTATTACATAAAAACTATAAGCACATAATATTACATCAAGTTCTATATTAGAACATTCTAACTCAACGAGTTCGATGTCCCCTACATAAGCCCTCAACCCTCAACCCTAAACCCTAAGCCATTCACCGAGTCCGAACTCTGAGGCGGTCCCAGGGGGCCCCGCGGCCGTTCGTGAATCTGGCGCCCCGGCCCTGTTTAGGGTTTAGGGTTTAGGGGTTTAGGGCTTCGGGTTTAGGGTTTCGGGTTTCGGGCTTAGGGTTTAGGGCTTAGGGTTTAGGGCTTCGAAGATCGAGAAGGGGGAACTGTAGACTGGCTATTGGGTTTAGGGTTTGGGACCTGGACCCTGACAGTGTGTAGAATACTAGCCGTTTTAGAGGTTTTGGGCCATTCTTTCACCTACTTTTGGGGGTCTAGGTAGGGTTTGGGGCTTGGGGCTTGGGGTTTTGAAGCTCCAAAAGGGGGAACTGTAGACTGGCTATGGGGTTTAGGGTTGTGGGCTTGGGGTTTAGAAGTTCGATAAGGGGAGCTGTAGACTAGCTGATTGTCGGGTTTAGGGCTTGGGGTTTTGAAGTTCGATAAGGGGAGCTGTAGGGAGTTCTATAAGGGCTCGACAAAAGTTGTTGGCCTGCCTCTGTTGGAGTTTGACAGGGCTTCATACGTAGCCATGAAAATTATAAATACATGAGATTGTAGTTATAAGTATTTATAGCAATTCCCTAAATTTCCCCCGGCATACTATGGTCCCTTATCCTGTAAGTGACGGAGGGGAGTCCTGGTGCCAGTAAATATGTCAGACCTAGCTGCCCCAAAACCCGGAAGCCAAAGAACTCTTGCAGCAGACCACGCCAGGGAGGCCGTTTGGCTCAAGCGCGTGTTGCAATGATGGTGGGCAGTGAAGGCCAGAAAGCAGCCCGATACAACCAGCAGCTCGCTGGCCTGCAATGTGAGTCCATGAAGCTTCTCGGCGACGTCAGGCTAAACCCCAAATCCTAAAGTCCTAAACTCCCATTGAACCTCGCCTGTGAGCTTTGTTCTCTGCCATGCGAGAGGGAAAAAACTCTAGACCCTTTTAGAAACCGCAGGTTTTATTGCCCTTGTATTCGGGTTTTCAGGTGCAGGGCTTCCTTTGGGCTTTGGGCCTAGCCGTCGGTGAGGCAATTTTGCCCTCAGGGTTTAGGGCTTTAAGGTTTAGGGTTACAGTACAGCCCCAGTTGTGGGGGGGCCTTCGTGCCTCTGGTCCCTTCATTTCCTAATTCATTCCTTGTTTTCCTTTTTATTTATGAACTCATGTCCTTCTAAACAACCCTTCAGCTTTCTGTTTCTCAGCTTGTTTCCTCATAATTACCCTTCAGACTTTGCAATAGAGCCTCTGCTGTCCGGCTTCGCATTTTCTAAGGGAAACCCTAAACCCTGCAGCGACAATCATGGCAGTAATATGCGCCACAGAAAGCTGCAGCCATTCGACAGAGCAGGAAGGCTATGAAGCTTTAAATACATAGAGGAGCCTTGACAGTTACACCTCCGAAACCTTGTTGTATAGTTTAGGGTTTAGTTGAAAGGGTGTCATATTTATTAAGGCCCCATGATATTGCCAGGAAAGCAGGTTGTTGCCCTGATCCAGGGTTTAGGGCTTCATAAGATTAAGACCCCATCATATTTACCGGGAAAGCTGGTTGTTCCCCTGTTCTAGGGTTTAGGGTTTCATAAAGCTTAAGGCCCCGTGATATTACCCGGAGAAAGCTAACCCTAAACCCCTTAACGCCCGGTTGCTTCCAGAAGCCTGAGGCATGAGATCATGAGGCGCATCGAGAGAGACGCCCTCGATGCTCGAGAGGAGGCCAGATTTCGATTTGTCGTTTAGGGTTTAGGGTTCCATATGTTTATGTTTATATATATATACATACACATCTATATATGGCTGTTTTTCAGAAGTAAAACCCTATAACCTACAATGAACCCTACACCCGTATTATATTTGGTCCTGTTTTGAAAGGGGCGATCCCTAAACCCTAAACCCGAGCGGGGGTTCGGGGTTATGGCTTTCGGCTAGGAAGCCATGGCGGCAGTGCCAGAGCCCGACGCCAAAGCCGCACTGAAGCATGCCACAGCTCAAAAAGCCTAGACCTTGGATATATACATATATATATATAGGTATACACATGTATACCTGTATATATATATATACACACATTTATCTCCCTATCTATCTGTCTATCTATCTATAGATAGATAGATAGATAGATAGATGGATATATCTATGTAGATATGTTTAAGCCTATACCTATATCTACCTCAAATTGACTGAGGAAAGGACCTGTGCTTGCATCCGTGCCTGCCCAGTGCGAGCGTGCGAGTCAAAACTCAACATCACCACTCCAACTATCCTTGGACGCCTTGTTGAAACATAATTATCCTAAACACCCCCACATCAGCCCCATGCATTCCCCTTGGTGAAAGATGTCCCGCGGGGCCGCGAGCTCCAGGTGAGCCGAGTGGTGGAAAGCACCTTGCGGCAGCTCCCTCCCCAAGTTCGGGCCCTCAATGCGCGCCAAGCCATCCGAATGCTGTCAAAGGAATCGGTGATAGGATTTGTGTTTGGGTTTCAAGGTCTCAGGCTTGGCGCTTTAGGGAAGCCTGGTGCCCTTTTTTGTTTCTTGTTTGCGGATGCTAATTGTGCTTGCGCCGGGCAGGTTGCGGGAACAGCTTCTCCCTTCAACCCTGGCGGTGCGACACTGCAATCTCTTGTGCAACAATAATAAAGGGGTTGGTCTTTAGTAATTCACGCCCTTTATGTCCCCAGCTTGCAAACCCTGTCCTCAATCCCGAAAGTTTTTGATCAACATACACAGACTGACGAACTTGCATGCACGCCGCACACCTGGACTCACTGTCGCTGAATGCTGAGCCCGGAGCAGGACTTTACCCTCCTCGGCCATGGCACGGCCAGCTTCCTCCGCTCCGCGACGCCAGCGCAGAAGCCTTGACAACCGCGAGCCCAGGTGTCGATTTCCTGCGCAGTCGGGTTTTCTTTGGGTTTCGTCTTTTGTTGTTGATAGCGGGGATGATGAAGGTTTGGGTCTATATACATGTTTTGCCATGGCAGGATTGTGTGTTGTGCAGCATGGGAACGCGGCCATACATGCCTCGTTTGCAAACAGTGGTGGTTCGAGCAGGAGCAAGTGGCTTTGCAGCGTCATTCTGAGTTGGGGTTGGTAGAGCGCAGGGAGGATTCCTGTTTCCTGCCTGACCGGTGTTGAGCAGAGAGAAGCCCTCACACAGAGGTAGTTGATGGCCCAAGCTTCTACTTTCTCACTGTACAGTAGTGATTGCATTGCAGTCTATGGGACAACTCATGTCCGGCTCTTTGCTTCGCTGCTCCAGTCCTTCCGGTGACAGCCCTGGCTGATACGTTATAATTCGCTTGAGCGGAATGCGATGTAGCTCAGGAGACAAATTCGGAGGAATATGCAACTGCAAGCTCGAGTCTTGTACACGAGGAAAGGAGCACGCTCAACACTTTGCATCCATACAGACGCCCTATGCCGATGCAGCAATGTTCTTGCACCATCCATGGCATCTTACGAGCCCGCAGGTAAGAGTCTGCGTGGAGTTTAGAGCTACGGGGTTTGGGATCACGTGCAACTAATCCGACCCAGCGCCGAAGCCACAATCCTGAACTTTATACGCCCAAAAGTAAAGCTTGAAGCCCTGGACCCCAACCCTTTCCAAAATCCCCTGATAGCAGCCATTGTTGTACCCTCACAATAACCCGTATAACCCTAAACCCTAAACCCTAAAAGACTGCTGAACCCTTGCAGATGCCCGAACTCTCCCCCCATGTCGGCTTTGTCATCGGCTCCCGAGCTCTCAAGGCGTTGCTTGTTAATGCTACTTTAGTTTGCTCATGGAATCTAGTATAGAAGCCTAAAAGATTACCGATACTATTTTGGGGGCTCCTTTTATGATTATAGTAGAATGGGACCCAAAGCCGAATTCTAATTATGAAGGCCCCTATAGTAGGTCCCTTCGCCTGTCGTTTGGGGTTCTGGGGTGTATAATGAGCACGCATGTATCCGCCTTGAAGGGGTATTGTCACTAATCATTCAGATCCCTAGCTTGCCTCATCACCCACTTTTGGTATACGGTCCCTGCCTCCGCACACTATGCTCGGGCTCTTACCTTATATGCTATGTCCTACCAAAACCCGCGTAGGTACGGTAGTTGCGGGGTGACTTTTGTGTACCGGCTGCTGCATGCCGAGGTGCCCTACAATGTGACCGAGGCCTGGACACGATAAACTAACTCATGGACATAGTATAGTTTAGGGTTTAGGGTTTAGGGTTTAGGGGAATAGTAGTTCCAGTAATGATGAAAACGATATCACAAGTCATACTGTTGCTACCTGTGAATACCAAACTGCCTTGACAATACCAACAACATGACGAATGACAGTGACAACTTGTCAGAGAGTTAAACAACAAGAGCATAACGATAGTCACAATACCCGTGATTTCATATGTTCAGAACAGTTGACGGAACAGCGATGACAGGCCGGTGCCGCAGCTGGTTACGAGGTGTCTAGAGCTCAGCTTGGAGATTGTTATCGCGTGGGATCGTGTTATTACTTACACGCGGGGGTTTCATACAGTCAGGATACCTTTTTTACGGGTCTGTATGTCATTGAATCCTGCTCGCAGGGGTTCTGGAACTCCCAAAAGTTGAATTCGGTGACATGGTGTTCTTTTCAGGGTGTTTATGATGTGAGTCGAGTATTGCTCCGGGGCATCTACTTAGAAAGCCGCGTTTCGGGAGCCGCTTTTTCAACGGCTCACACGGCCACACGGGTGCATCCGAAATCGTGGTCCGTGCTGCAGGCTACCAGCACAGGTTCAGTTGCCACGGCGTCGGTGGCTGACAGGTGCAGAGCAGCTTGTTTCAGCAAATTGAGCCAGCAATCTGGCAGCCGTCTGTCGCAAAAAGCCATGCCTCGAGGAACACAGCAGTTGTCAAAAAACAAGGCGGTTTTGAATCAGCGAGAGGCTGCACCTGGAAGACAAACGAGGTCGCACCCACCCTTGCCTTCGAAGGCGACATAAGGGTTGTATTGTTTTTTTACGAGGGATCGTGCACTTTGTGCTTTATGTGCTCTTCCCGATTTGGCAACCTTCATCGAGCATCATTGGGTTTTGGTCTGACTTCTTCCATATGATGGGTGCGACCAAGTGCGACCTCGTCAAAATCGAGGTCGCGCCCACCCTAGCCTTCGAACCCGGCATGGGGGTTATGTCGGTTTATACGAGGGATGTTGCACTTTGGACTCTATGTGCTCTTCCCGCTTTGGCAACCCTCATCGAGCATTTCGTTTCTGTCTGAATTCTACCATAACAAATGATGTGTGCGACCGGGTGCGACCTCGTAAAAGACGAGGTCGCACCCTGTCGCACCCATCCTTCTTCGAGGTCCGGAATGCGTTGTGGTGGTTGTCGTCGTTCGTGGTTGTCGTTGTCGTTGTCCTCGTCGTTGTTGTGCATGCGTGCAGGCATGTATATCTCACATCTCTCTCTCTCTCTATATATATATATATGTATATACCTTCGGCTGATCAAGCGCTTTCGGGACACCCGGGCTCCAGTCCTTGTAAGGGTACCGAGGTCAGTAAAGTAGGAACTGAGTAGTAACCCTAATAGTGACCCTTGTCTCAACCCTTATGGTGACTCTTATCGTAACCCTTACTGTGATCCCTTACACTACCCCTGGTGACCCTTTTTGAACCTTTATCGTGAACTTGTCAGTACCCTTTTCTCAGACGGGGGTTGACACTCGGCATCATGCAGGTTTGGAACTCTCTTCCCGAGGCGGCTGCCCGAGCTCCTTGGGCTGCTTTTGTTTTGAGAGTTTAGGTTTATGGATATGCACGCTTGGCACAAGTAGCGACACTGATTTTCGTGGCCGCAAAAGAGGGCAAGCCGTTGTCGCTCATGTGCATGCGCAATATATTAAATCCTCGACCCGAAACCCCTAAACCTAAGGCTCGAAAAGCGCTAAACAAACTCCACAGCTAACCGAGGTTTGGGACGGAGCAGGCGCGCAAGCCATGCAATGAGCGTTGGGCTCCTCCAACTTGTCGGGGTTTAGGGTTTAGGGCTTACAGTTTATTCTAGTGGCCGCACCTGTAACTGCATCCTTCAGTTTCTCTTGGGAAGGCTCTGCCCTCAGGCGTGGTCAGGGCAGCTTCCTGCATCTCTCCCGGTTGATGTTTGTTAAGCAGCCCGCCTTAGTTTTAAGGTTTTAAAGTTTGAGCAAGGTTGGAACGTCAGGCTCAATAGTTTCGCGGAAGGTCAGCTGAAACTCAATGGTTGCCTAGCCCCTGAATTGTACCTTTTGTGGTTCACCCGTGCCCGACTCGAAACAGGTTTTCTACAAACAGTGCTGCTTCCAGGGTGTTGGGAGTATCAGCAAGCAGGCGAGGGCACAGAATGATGCAGATATAGCGGATGTCAGTATTTCACAGTGCCAAGCCTTCTGCCTCCCGTTTAGTTGCATCTGCTGTTTACAATGTTGTTGCATGCCTTTCACAAGCAGATCAAGCATAAAACCTAAACTTTAAACCCTAAGCCTGCATTGTCCGAACGTGAGAGCCAAAACCCCTATACGCTTGAATACCGGTGATCAGGAAGAGACAGACGACGTCCAGCAGTCAGGGGCCTACGGCCCCTTCCCAGAAAGCGTTGAAAAGCCTCAAAGATAAGAAACTGAACTTAAGTTACTAATGGGAACTCTTGATCAATAACCCCCCCCGTCCTCCCCCCCTCGGCAAGGTAGGTCAGCTGGTGGCTTGATCCGACCCCCCCAAATAAATTTGGCGTGTTTCGGGCCTGCCACCCAGCACTCCTCCTATAGGGTTTTGTAGGGCAGGTAGGGCAGGTACAGTCGACAACTGAAGTCGTAACATTTGTTTGTGGAAATCGCCAGACGAGCATAAGTTGTAGCGGAGCGGCGTTTCTTTGGGGCTCGTCACGAATTCGCATGCCCATTATGGAACCGCCGTCTCTGGCGACCACGTGGATTTTCGTTCTTTGGTAGTACAGCTCTCTAGTACTGGAACGGCCGTCTCCGGCGGCTGGATTTTCGTGCTGTGGTTGCTTTAGTACCGAAACGTGGGCCGGATTATTAATCAGGGCGGGTTGCCTTGCCTGGGCTAGGCCTTTGCAGGCTTGAAAAATTGAGTGTTTTACATAGGCCTTTGATTTGAAATATCTGGTTGGCCACCTCTGGACTTTCTTCACTCCAGCCCTGTTTTGCTTGCTTAACGTTGAGACTTTACGGGAGACTAGTTCCACAACACCCTCAACCCTAAATTCCTGCACTCTTCAACCCCCCTAAACCCTACACCCAAAAACCTAAAGTTGAACACGCAGTCATCAGAGAAACGCCAACCATGAATTTCACCCTTACTGTTGACACGCCTTGCAGAGACTCCCCTAACCTCCCCCTCGGCCCTGAACCCTAAACCTTGGACCCCAAGCTGCCCCCCAAACCCTAAACCTCTAAACTCAACACCCTGAACCCTGAACCCCTTCTAAGTCTGCGGGCCAATTGGATTTTGGAGATGCTTGGGGCAGAAGGTTGCCATTAACCGGGGGGTGCTGTGGCAAGGTTTTTTTTTGTTTTTAAGGGGGGGGGCTCTGGTGGAAGAGGCCCTCGCCTTTAAAACATGGTTTTAGTCAGGTCCGAGGCCCGCGCGGGATGCCTTCGATCACGGGGTTGATCCATCAATCGTTGACCTTACAATAAGGAGACCCTTATATTTTCTATATATCCCATTATGATAGCAAAAAGAAAATTCCTCAACAGCAGCCCAGTCATTTGGAATGGGTTTGGAACCTGCGCAGTGAGTACCAGCCTTGTTTGTAATCGTCTGAGGTGATATATATATATATATATATATGTATGTATGTATATATATATATATGTATCCATTCGGAAGATTCGAGCCTATTGCTTTAAGCAGCTCTGGAAATGCAAGGCGCAAGAAAATCTGCATGATATGTCATTTTCTGAATGGGTGTAGGTGGATGCGGGTCGTACGCCTTCGGGTGTTTACGTCTTCTGTTTGTAAGTGTGATGCTGTGTACCTTAAGCCATATCCGGCGGCCTTTGTTTCCACCGTGCGGTATACAGGATAGAGGTGATTGCGACAAGAGATTCTCCGTCAAACAAACAGCAACTTACCTGATCTCCTGGTCTTACCTAGGCTCGCATCCACGACAACAAGGTCGAAGGACTCCATCCTTGCTGCTTTCTTGTGGCCTCTGTTTATTTATGGCCTCCTTTGGAAAGCGATTGTCTGAAGACGGTCGAGAGCCTCGGCATGAGCAACAAAAGGATACTTCCGCAACCTGACGAAGTTCATCGACTTGCTGGCACTAATCACAGACCGAAGGGAGATTGAAGAAGAATCTGGCAAGTCATGAAAGTACTCCGGTCATGTTCAACCGCCGGCAACGCGGCCTGCTTTCGTGTTCAAAATCCTCGTGGCCCTGAGCTGACTGAAAGCAGGTTTCCCTTTGCCAAGAAAATACGGGCAGGTAGCCCCGCGCAGGATCGAAAGCTGTTCAGCCGTCGAGCTGTCACAAGCAGTTGTTGCGTGTGCCAGCATTGGCTCAAGACAGCTGCCGCAAGTGTCGGTTGCAGCCATGGGGACGAAGCAGCGGAAGGCTAGCCGAAACATTGGGGGCGCTGCTGCCAATGTCGTCTTCTTTAACATCGCAACTAGTCACTAGTTGGGTTCCCCCTTCGTGTGATGGTAGTCGTCATTGTGTTGGCGTGGCCACGAGATGCTCTAGGCCAGTGGCTGAAACTCCATGCGCTGCATGGTAACCTGATACGTGAACAGCATCACGAAGTTATTTAGTGCGGCAACACAAACAGCGATGATGATATTCTGCATGTGCTGCCAACCATCGGCCATCTTAGCGACAACGAAAAGAAGTGCCGTCGTTGTTGTCAGTGGTTGCATGAAAGCAGCGGTAGTGATGCACCAATGGGCTGGCAAGAAGGACTGGTAGCAACTTTGTCCAGTGAAGACGCAATCCTTAAAACGCTTGAACCCTGACCAGGCCCTCCGCAAGAAGCAGGTAGGCTTGGCCATGAAGCGCCTCAGTGCCAGTGACGACCGGGTGAAACCGGAGTCGCTTCTTTGATTGACTTCCGCATGGCTTCGCACTATAATAAGATAAGGCCCGATAAGGCTCGAGATAATTACTACTGTAATGGAAAATAAGTCTCCTTTTTCTGGAATATTGTTATATGTTCTCATTATCACAGCCCGGGTATCGGTCTCAGGCTTTGGTGTTTGCGCTATTTGAGACTACTTAAGACAAACAGGCTGTATCCACAGGCAGGGTTTCAACCCTAAACCTGAGGTTCAATCCCCGGGTGTGAAGACTACACGAAGGTCATTCAATTTCGATGCAATTTCATGGAGCACGTAGAGGTCAAAGGCAATTTTGCTTCAGATGGGGTTGTCCTCAATTAGGGTTTAGGTTTAGGACCCTCAGCCCTATAAGCCCTAAA